CACACCTACACCCATACCCACCCACATCCACACTCGGAACAGCCTAAGAACCGAGAACATGGCTTCGAATATGCACTTGAAGTAGCTGCCCATTAACCACAAGCACTGGTGAAAGCGCTGACGGGTATGAGTGCGGATGTGGATTATTAGAATAGCACACCAACTCCCCACATCCATACATCTATATACCAACACCCACACCTACATCAGCATTTTTCAACGATAACCACGCCCTTACATGGTAGAGATATGCATAGTGTTGTGTCTACTGGATTCTAAATGAACTTCCTTGCACGAGAATGTATTTTTTCTTTGGTTGCATTCGTTCATAGTATAGATCTCACCTTGAATGCTTTACTTGTGATAAGTGCAGTCGTGTTCTTAACAAAGTCTATAGTTGAAAGGTATTTAAATAAAACAAAAACAAGAAAGATAAGATAAGGAAAATGTTGGCATCTTCGAAAACTAACAAAGGCATCATTCGACAAGAAAAAAAACGGTCTCACGTATACAATATAAACTAAAGCCGCCAACAACGCAGGATTAAAGTTTCTACGGCTATTTTTGTTAAAATTATTTGGCTGCGGTATGTAACTTATTAGGATCATTTAGAAAGTTAATCATAGTATTTTAAAATTCATATACATAGTGCCGATATGATCAGACTATTAGAAAGGATGAAGAAAAAAACTGGAAAGGAAACCAGTGGTAGACTTTTCATTTAGTAAATCGACCGATAGGTGCTTGTCACTTAGCTGTCTAGTTGACTAACCTTTCTGTATTCATCTCATGTTTTTTAAACATTTTTATATGCCTCAATTTTACGATGTTGTATATTTTTTACAACATTACTTTACTTCCTATTTTACTCATCCTATTTATCACCTAAATACATTCTAGAGACTGCGATCGAACTATCCGCATAACATAATTAGAAGTCTCATGAGAAAACATATAAAATTGTTAATGTCCAGCTGTTGAAATATGGCTGTGGATGGCAAGCTTCGAACCATCCAGCAAGCAGTCTGAACGACGGCGAAAACTTTGCCGCGTTTGTCAATGCGCTAGAGTGAGGAAAAGAGCTGCGGGTCACAGAATGACAGCTCAGCATGTAAAAACAAGGCTACGGAGGCCACAGCAATGGGTTATAGTAAGGGCGAATAGCTTCGACCCAGACAGAGAATGCGCCATGTAAGGGCTATATGCATTGCTTCACGCATAACTACATCAGAAAGAAAGCGATAAGCGCTGGTCCAGACCAGTATTCGTAACAATGAGGATGGACAGCTCGAGTGTGGGTGTGGGTGTGCGGATGTGGATAGGTATCGGATGTAATGTACTAATTTTATCGAGATCTACACACCCACACCCACACCCACACCCACACCCACACCCACACCCACACCCACACCACCAACCCACACCCACACCACTCACCCACACCCACACCCACACCACCAACCCACACCCACACCCCCCACCCACACCCACACCACTCACCCACACCCACACCCACACCACCCACCCACACCCACACCCTTTATCGCACAATGCTCAGTATGTCAAACTCGAAAAACAGTTTATCTTTATTGTACCAATATTATTAAATTTTTTCCAAACCCCCCAAACCCCTTGCTCGAATCGGTCACAGTATATGCTAATAATTTGTATGAAATTCAAAATAATGTTTACAAAAAACCAAGGAAACTTTGAAAATCTATACAAATTCTCTAAACAGCTTTTTATTGAATTTATCGATTAGTGAGAAGCGAACTGCCATCGACCAAAATCTTGATGAAACATGATATCCGAAAACTTTTAGATAATCATTTTTATATATAAAATCAGAAGAAACAGGTTTTGAACTATGCTAAAGTCATTTTCTTAATCAATCATTCTACCATAATAATCAATTAATTACTCAATAAAAAAAAATGATATAAAACGGAAAAATTTAGAAGAAAAAAGTCCAAACACATTATAGGCGCTGCTCATAAAAAGCTTACTACTCGTTGAAGCTCAACCAAGTATCCGCTGTTCCTTTGATGAAAATAACAAGCAATGTCATTGAATTAAAAAAAAAGACTGCATGATAAAATTTCACCAAACATCCGAAATCGCTACGTTCCCATCATTGCAGAAAATATGAACTTTTTTTAAATGAAAAGAAAATTGATGAAAAAAATCTAACCAATTGTCAATGTCCCCATGTCCCCATCATAAATAAAAAATTTTAGTAAACGATAAAAAGAATTCAATGAAAAAATAAAACTTCTGAAGAATATTGAAGCCTATATACCAATTTGGTGTTTAATTGCAATTATGCAGTGACTTAACTTTGACTAGGCAAAATTATATCCAATATTTTCAAAACAACAAATTTTATCATTAGTTCAATTTTGCCTGCACACCAAATTTGCCTGCACATATGTACACACACAAACATAAATGAAGTAATTGCCCATTGCAGACTCTAGCCTTTTAGTCTAGGCGATAAAAGTTAAATCGTTAATCCGATTCGTGAAGGTGTTAGATTAATTAAAATAATTTTTCTTCACAATCCCGATATCCGGTAGAATTCATTTCTCATTTGAACAAATACTGTAAATTAATAAACTAATTACTGCCCAACTAGCCTTTCGAGGGGTATTTCGACGCCTCGATTTTGCACTGTCGATGTCTCCTAAGATACCCAACGCCAAGCCCTCGACCCATCGGAAAATGGCAATCCGAGGGGTCGATTTGAAATTCCGATGGGTATAACTCGTGTCTCAAAATTGTACCATCATAGATGTTTCAAAGTTTCGATCTCGTGCTTCTGCTAACTATCAATGTATCTACCATCAGGCTCTGGACCCATCGGAATTTCAAATCGACCCCTCGGATTGCCATTTTCCGATGGGTCGAGGGCTCGGCGCATCCCTCGCATGTCTTTTTCAGCTCGCTTGGGTGCTTCTATCAAAGTATAATCAGAGATGTCATGATTGCCGACGATAGATTTATATGATTATTTAAGTATAGATCGCTATCCGTGGTTTTATTCTAGACAATAAAGTTCGATGTTTTCCTGATATATTTCAACAGGCACCAAGTAATCACTCTCCTAGGATTCTGTTTGATCCAACGAAACTCAGTTGCTCATTACATTCACACTAGAATATCATCATAATTCGATTTTTTTTATTAAGAAAAACCTTTTAAATGATCTTTTACTTTTATTTTTGTACTATCTACCGATTCGTTTTGATTTCTTGATGAAACTCCCAAGAATTTTTTCACGTTTTTAATAATGATTATAAAATAACTGTTTTGAAAAATCAATATTCTAGATTCTTCTTTTAGTTCTTAAAGTAAATCTGTAGTGTTACTATGTTGAAGTACCCGCTGAAATGGACAGTGACTCAAACTTGAACCTTGAAAATAAAACTCGTTTATGTCGTCTTCATCTATGGGCAGATTACAATGAGTTTGGTTTCAGTCTCTGTGAAAGATCACAATCACCTCATATTATTTATATGGTTGAATCAAATAGTCCGGCAATGGCTGGTGGTCTTCGTATTCGAGATATTATTCTTGCAATCAATGGTAAGAATGTAACAAATGCACATGAGAAATGCATTAGAAAACTAATCACAAGAGCTCGAAATTCCAAAAGTGTTGTCGAATTACTTGTCTGTCAAGAAGAGATTTATGCGATTACAAGACACAAGTCAAAGTTGCATGATCTTTCAATAGCAACAAGACTGGAAACACCAACAACAATCCCAGTTGAATATGTCGAGTTTGCAAGGAATCCACTACGTACATGCATAATTGTATTAAATGGCGATCAAAATTCATCGTTCGGTATTGCTACAGCTCATGGTCAAAACGATATTGGTTTATATATTACATATGTTGTACCCAATTCACTGGCAGCATTAGCCGGATTACGAAATTCGGATCGTATTATTAAAATTGATGGTATAAATGTCGATAAAGATAAAAGCAAATCTATCATGAATCAAATCGAATTAGCTAAGATGATAAATGGAGCTATCGAATTATATGTTGCTGACACTCATGCATATAAAACATACAAAGATTCAGCAAAAGAAAATCAGACATCAAGTGGGACACTCTCAAGAACAGCTCAAAGATTTCGTCGACAATCATCTACAAGTAAGATAGTCAATACTTAACAGAATAAATTATGGGCTTATTTTAAACTATAAATTTCATGTTGATGCATGAAAACGATACGATACACTATTGTAGAATTACATTCATTTTTTTGAGAAAAATATATCATTCGTTGTATATTGATTAAGATCACATCAATCCATCATAGTATTGATAAATACCATTCAAGTATTTTTTTAAGCTCTCTTCAAAAAAGTCACTTTTCTTCAGACACATGCAAAATGAGGTAAGTGTACGAGAAGATAGTCCGAAGTCTGGTCTTTCAAAAATGATAAAACTTTGTATTTAACATATCGGTTTTTTTTGCCAGAAACTCTTGATGATTTCCATCATCCACTACTTGAAAAATATGCTGTTTTTTTTCAAATCGATTAGGGGTGTCAACTTTGCGTTCCGTTCCTAGGAACGGGGAACGCTACCCCGTTCCCGTTCCTAGGAACGGGGAACGTCACCCCGTTCCTCGTTCCTGGGAACGGGGAACGCCACCCCGTTCCCCGTTCCTAGGAGCGGGGAACGCTACCCCGTTCCCGTTCCTGGGAACGGGGAACGCTTCCGCGTTCCTCAGCGTTCCGTTCCTAGGAATGGGAACGCAATATACGTTTCTTTCACTTTTAACAGAAATTTTACTAATTCACCGAAGGAAAGCCAATTTCATAAAAATTAGGGATGTTAACGTGCCCCGTTCCCCAGCGTTCCGTTCCTAGGAACGGGAACGCTTGTCAAAATCGCATTTCCACGCTATATTTCAACAAGGCGAGGTCTCTAGACATATCCACTTTTCTTTTTACGTTTGAGTGTTCAGCGTTCCCCGTTCCCGGGAACGGGGAACGGGGTAGCGTTCCCGTTCCTGGGAACGCGGAACGGGGTAGCGTTCCCCGTTCCTGGGAACGCGGAACGGGGTAGCGTTCCCCGTTCCTGGGAACGCGGAACGGGGTAGCGTTCCCCGTTCCTGAGAACGCGGAACGCTGAGCACTCAAACATAAAAAGAAAAGTGGATGTGTCTAGAGACCTCGCCATGTTGAAATATAGCGTGGAAATGCGATTTTGACAAGCGTTCCCGTTCCTAGGAACGGAACGCCGAGGAACGGGGAACGCTGACACCCCTAAAATCGATACATCTTTTTGGATTTTTCTTAGTTTATGCTTTTTTGATCGCACACCCAAGAATTCTCTAAGGAGCTTCATTATAACCAATAGATTTTATTTTTGATAGATAGAGAGCATGTGAAGGCGTAGGACATAATAAAGCTCGTTTTCTAAATAACTTGTTGTTACTAGAATTCGAAAGTAATTTTATCTGTAGAGCGGAATTTTTTGAGTTTTCGACACATTAAAATTTTTCAATCCAGTTCTCCGCTGACAAAGTAAGAATTAAAAAAAATTCAAATGATAAATAGTTTCGTTTGGTTTCCTATTACTATTTAGATTCGTTTTACTTGCTTCATAGTTGATGTGGAACAATTGCTAATACTCCCTATTGTAGAAAAAGTCGTTTAGTGATTCTATCTTTTGATCTTCTACCATGTTTTCATTATTCATTTATATTGCATTTTGGCATTAGAAAAAGTGGAATTTGAGCGCGATAATTAATAGATGAAAACAATCATGAAACTGTATTAATACTGAAGACTAAGCGAACCTACTAATTCATATGATTTTGTAAAAACATAAAAACTCATGTCTTTCGTATATCTAGCTTCTACTAATGAATCAATTATTTGAAAAACTTTAACTTCTATCTCAGGAGGCAACTCTGAAACAGTTCTCAATATAAAGTTAGACACTTTATGCAAATGATTAGTATCATTTCTAAATAAGAAAATCTATCAATAGGTCTAGTCAGCTCAATAAAACTTACAGCTCTTTTGTTATTCAGATTTAAGCTTCTTAATTATCAATTGATTTACCACAAAATAGGTTTAGAAAGAAAAAACATTTCGTTTCACATTTCTGACACATGTGTCTAGAAAACAGAATGTAAAATAGGTGTTTTACTTTCTCTCGTTTTGTATAGGTTCTATAAAAAGCTTTACTCTACAGTCTAGTAAGCGTACAGATTTATCACCAGCACCAACAGTACGCAGTAATCAGGACGATATTCGAAGTGCACATAAATATGGTTCTATGCAAAACTTGAAGTTCTTGCCACCAGAAGTTCCAAACTACAGAAGATTGAGCGAAACGAATGAATCTAACAAACTATATGCGTCCGAAAGTAATATAACTTCAAATACAAATAAGTACAATCTAACTCGCTCAGCCAAACAATCTATCGCCATAAAACCACTAAGTAAGATACGAAAAGTTCTACAAAAAAAATTCATCTTGGCTATTCTCAATTTTCAGATGATGAATCTATTCCGATTAAAATCATTGATCGAACTTATGAAGTAAATTATACACTGGACGAGGATATATTTAGAAAAGAGAGTTACGAGGTCCAATCTATCACACGAAAGACGCGGACTGGTTTCAATTTACCCAAACCTAAATCCACTCGGCAAAGAAAACCTCTATCCAATTTTAATTCAAATATGACTGCTCGACAGGATGAGTTTCGATCATCAAAACGTTCGACTTTCAACAGCCATCGCTCAAAGGTAGTACCAATTTTTTTCTTTCTTGAATAAGAACGTATGATTGTATTACTTATGGAAGTATGAGAAAATTTATTCGATTCAGTTTCGTTCGAATGAAGCTATATAGAGAGAGATTCGGATCTTAGCAACGTTATCATTACACGCGTGTATTTATAAAACTCTAGGCTACATTAAAAAGTTCCGCAATTTGCACACAACCTTGTCTAATGGAGACTTTCACCAGGGTAATGTTATAGATGAAAATTCAAGAATGATGATTTTATTGAAAAACCTGAGATTCTGCAAGGAATATTTACTAAAATCTCAATAATTTGACAATAAGTAGAAAGCAACGCAAATGCTCTTAGAAGTTTTCTAGTCTCACCTAGATCTACTTGTAGGTAAACCCTTAGCTGAAAACTTGATAATCACCTAAATATGATTTCTTGCTAATCATCGTCGGTCATCCTCTTTTACGATTTCTCTCTATATGGTTGCGAGCAATCCTTTCATCCATTTGATCATTACATGATCAAAAAGTCGATTATCGATCAATCGAAGTAGAAACTATTTAATTTACATATGTTGATTTTTCTTTTATTACTTGAAGATCTTCAGAATGGATAGAAACTCGCATGCATCCATTGAAATTCGCATGGGTGATCTGACAACTGAACAAGTAACTAAATTATAGATTAAAACTAAAAGAAAAATGAATATCATACTTTTATTTTCTGTATTTTCAGAGTGATGTTATTGTTGTTTGTCCATCATCAAGACGTTTATTTGATAGTATATGTCAAGTTGGACAAGGTTCAATTGATACAGCATACGAAGATGCATTACAAGAGAATCCTCGAGCTCATATCATCGATATAGAAACTGATGGTCAACTTCCATCACAAGTAATCTACTTTGTTCATTGGAAACCACATTATGATGAATATCGACTGCGTAAATCACTTCAGAAATTTGTTTCGATTGCCATAGAGAAAGCAGTATACGATGGTTATCAACGAATAGCCTTTCCAGCTATCGGTTGCGGAAACTACGATTGTTCTATAGAACTTGTTGCTCAAGTTCTTATAGAACAAATTTGTCATCTTTTAACTATACATTCACTATGTGTTTCAATTGTAATAGAACCGAACAAGACAGCGATCTACGATGAATTTGAAGCACAACTCGATCATTTTTATTTATCACAACTAGAATTGAATTGTGCATGTATATCATCGAAAATTGGAAATGGAACAATCGAGGTTAAAATGGGAGATATAACAAGAGAAACGGTAAATGAAAAAGACAAGAATTCATTGCTTTACACAAACTCAAAAGGGAAATGTTAAAGCATTTCAGAAAGAGAGAGAGAGAGAGAGAGAGAGAGAGAGAGAGATCTTTCTATAAGAATAAGTCATTTGGAATATCTCTTTTACGTTTTCCTATAGGTCGATGTTATTATTGTTAGTTCATCTTCGGTCAATTTAAAAAATGCAATAATTGATGCAGCAGGTGACGACATTCGATCGATCTATGATGATGAACTTAATAATAACCAATGCTCTTTACTGATATCAACACCACCAGGTGACCTACCTTGTGAAAAAATATTTTTTATCAAATGGAAACCTGATAGTAATGAAGCTATACTACAGCAATCTATTGTTGATTTTGTATCAAATGCTATTCAAAATATGATCGCATATAATTTCAATTCTATTGCATTGCCAGCCATTGGATGTGGAGACTATGGTTGTCCTGTAGCTATTGTAGTTAAAACGCTTGTTAAAGAAGTCAAAAAACAGCTGATAATGAGAAATTTACCTTTAAAAGTAATATTTGTTATACAACCGAATTCAACCAATGTTTATGATGAATTTTGTAAACAAGCTTTGAAACCTTTGAAAGGTAATACTTATAAATATGGCTTCTTTGAACCGATTTTTATTTTCCATCTATTGCTAAGAAATCATAAAATTGGTTTTCAATACTATCCTGATCAAAACAAAAGAAACTTCAAAACATTCAAAGTTGTAATACTGAGTTATAGATAACTATGAGATTACGTGTATCCTATGATTTCGTCATAGCAGGGATTTCGTCTTATTTCCATAAGCATGATACAGTCCAAGAATCTCTAGTTATTAAAACCTACTACTACCCATTTTTCTATCATAAAATTGATGCTTGAGCATGAAGTCAAGGTAGGCATAGATGGCTGTGGGTGAAGCGAAGACAATATTATCCCTCTAAAATAGCTGCCCACTCATACCATTCAAAGAGTGTCTATCATATATGTTTTGGATATTTTTTTCTTAATGCATATTGTAGTCATATAACTATTTGAATATTTTTCATTAATACAAGGCTGAATAGAAGATTGATTTCTCTATCAATTCATATGCTTTCAGTCTGATTTCATTGAAGTCTTCTATTTGAATAGAATGAATAGTCTCTTCCAGTACCATCATCTTGCCTTGCTATTATAAAAAAAACAGAGAGAGAAAGCATCCTAGAGAATGTGAAGCGAAATAAAATCAACACCAAAGGAAAGAGGAGCCTTTCCCAATCAACTGAAAATAATCTTTCTTTTCAATCGAAACCAAATGAAATATTTCTACACTCATAGAATTTTCTCTCGATAAGATATAAGTGCATGCAGAAGCTTCCTTTTGGTGACTTTTCAATGTATGCATCATGTAGCTGAATACAACTAAGAAGATTTCACGATGTTACAGAAATATAGTACATTGAAGAAATGTTTAAACAAAAAATATAATCGCGCTATATATCGTCGAAATTGTTTCTCATCGATGATAGATTAAAACATTTCAATACAATCTATTGTTACCTTCCATAATAAATATAAATACGAGAAATATAAGTTTAGAACATTGTCATCCTTTGTACAAATTGTACTAGTCTTGCTCATTGAAGTTAAAAAATGTTGACCTATTGTTTACATTACAGCTAAGATAGATTCAATATTAATTATTATCAACCTATAAAAATAGGAATGGATACAACAACAACATATTGTCAATTTCCTGACACATGGGTACACTCAGCAAACGATCGAAAACGATTTCTAGTGTCCGATAATACAGACGAGTATTGGTCCATTTCTCAAGAGTTCTATCATGGAATGCAACCGATGGACGTTTATGTAATAAAAATTGAACGAATTCAAAATGAACGATGGTACGCACAATATTTCGCACATTGGCAAGAGTTTAAAAAACGATTTAAAACAAATACTGAAAGACATCTATATCATGGATGTCCTAAGAGAGCAGCATATTCAATAATCGAAGATTGTTTTAATAGAAGTTTTGCTGGAGTGAATGGTAATCTTTATTCGCATAGATTTATTTTCGCTTTGATTCAATAAGATTTATTAACTGTTTTTAGGCACAAGTCATGGTGTAGGTGTCTATTTTTCATCGAAACCGAGTTACAGCCATCAATATACAAAGCCAAATAAAGATGGAGAGCGATGCATGTTTGTATCACGAGTTCTGATTGGAAAATCAACGCTTGGCAATTCATCAATGACAACTCGACCTCTTGGATTTGATACAACAACAGATAGCAAGCATATCTTTGTTACTTATCATGATGCACAAGCATACGCCGAATATTTGATAACATATATAGAAGTCGATCGCTAGTATTCTATATCAATATTCAATTAATATTATTCGTTAGTTGAAATAAACAATAGACCTTCATGATATCATGATACATTGTAGTCTCGATATACCCATGGCGTAAAATTTTGAAGGAAACGCACTGCGTAACGTGTTTCCGAGGTTGCAGCATTCGTTTTGCAACATTTTTTCAGTAAAGAACGCATTTCGAAGCATTCTTACTTTAATAGAATGCGTTTTACTGCCGTCTTTTTTTGAAACGATCCGAAACGCTGTTTTTCAAGATGGCGTTTCAAAGCGTTTCTGAAGTACAATGTTGTCGAACGCACTACGGTCGACAGGCGACGCGTTTCAGAGACATATACTATGAAAACCGTGAAACGCGTTTCTTTTTCAAACATGTTTTCAATCGTTTTTGCTTTGCATGATACAGAATGTATCGATTTTGCATAGAGAATCTTGCAGAAATTCATCTCTGCACAGCATACGTGTTACGCAAAGTTAACTCTTTCACATTATTTTGGAAATGATATGAAATAGCATTTGAAAACTCTGCTGTTTGCACTATTTTTGTACGTGAAAATCATGACCCAAATTTTATGAAGGTAAGACAAAAACCAAAGCCTTCAAAATTTTTAGGTTGCTAGACTGTTATCTAGATCTGATTCAAAGTTAGACTAATGTAAAACATGGGTGTGGGTGTGGGTGGGTGTGGGTGTGG